GGTGGGGGGCCCTGGGGGGCGGGCTGTGACTGGGGCGGGCAGAGGCCTGGCCGAGCTCCCAAGGACAGCCCCCGAGACTTCTGCGCTTAGGGCTGCCTGGACACCCGCAGGCTGGAGCGCGGACCCCGCGGGGACCAGACCCTGGCCGGGCCCTCTCCAACCTGTTTCCCCACTGCGTGGCGGCCGAGATCCCCTTATGTTCCCATCCTGGGAGGTGACCCTGTGTCAGACCGCCTCTTCCCAGTCCCTGTTTAGGCCCGATCTGATGGCTGGGCTGGATCGCCGCCCCTTCTGTCCCAGCTGGACCTTGTGAGGAGAGGCCAGAGGACCAAGGATTGTTTTGGTTTTCTGCCCAGCCTGGGTAGCACCTGGGGTAGGTGGAGGGTACCTGAGGTTGACACTTGGGGAAATGGGGCAGAGGAAGCCAGAGGTACACATACACACACATCAAAGGGCTTGGGGCTTTGGGGAGGCTTTCATCTCCATGCCCAGCAGTCACATCGGAGCGTCACTGCCCCGCTTTATTGCCGACCCGGAAGTTCCCAGAGGCCACCAATCTGTCAGCTCCCACATCATTCTGTCACCAGCAGGTAGACCAGAGCCTTGGCAGTCAGACCTCTGAACTACAGTGAATCCTCTCTCACCATCAATCCAGCATGATTTTAGGTGCCTGAAAGCAGACAGGCTGTGGTCCCATTCCTGAGTCTGGAGTGCTTTCCAGAGGGAACATCTCAGTGTGACATCTCCACCTCCCTGCCCCCAGTTTAGGGTGTCCCAAGAGTTCTTTGGCATCCTGTGGTGCCCTTGTTCCTGAGGGATCTCTGGGTTCAGGGAGGTAGCTCTGAATACCTGGGTAGCCCTTGTGGTGTGGGAGGAACCCCGATAACAGGGCTGCTCATCATGGCGCAGGGCTGTACTCCTTGCATTGTGGCAGAGATACCCACTTTCCAGGCATCTGCATTCCACCCAACTGGAGTGCCTGGATTCCAGTACTGTCTCCACCCACCTCAGAGCTAGGAGGCCCTCTGAAGTCTACCCAGACTCCTGTAAAGTAGCGTGATTAACAGCCCCAACTCTGAGCCCGCCTGGCAGGGCTGGGGTCCCAGCTCTGCCTCTTCCTCACAATCGAAGCAGAGAGAATAGTCCCCACCTTGGTGGATGTTGTGAGCCTTAAGTTACTGTGTAATACAATAGCATCTCACACATACATGCTCTGTCATGTTGAAAACAAGAGCCTGTTTCTTTTCTCTTCTTTTCTTTTCTTTCCTGTAGAGGTTTTTGCTATAGGGCATATGCACTCACCAGAAAGACAGAGACAGAGAGATAGAAAGCAAGAAATCATCCCCCAGGGGGAGATGGCCACACCGCAATGCCTTCTCCTCCATTCTCCTCTTGGGATCTTGGGCACGCACGCACATGCACCTGGCTTGAGTTTAAGCCACTGGGTCTGTGACTCGAACCGCAGTTGGATACATGGGAGTTCAGCAACATAGCCATTACGCTAACTGCTGGTTCCATCTTTCTTTTCTTTTTAAAATAAAAGTGTGTTTTAGGTAGATTCATGAACATAAATGACGTACTGGGTTTGGGATTTTTAAAAATTGCTTCAAAAGTTTAAGTTTTCAGAGCCTGGTAAGAATAGGCTTCTTTAAAAAAAAAAAAAAAAGAATAGGCGTCTTTTATTTATTTTTTAGAGAGATTTTTACTATAGGGCATGTGTGCTCACCAGAGAGACAGAAAGTGAGAAATCTATAGGGCATATGCACTCACCAGAAAGACAGAGACAGAGAGATAGAAAGCAAGAAATCATCCCCCAGGGGGAGATGGCCACACCGCAATGCCTTCTCCTCCATTCTCCTCTTGGGATCTTGGGCACGCACGCACATGCACCTGGCTTGAGTTTAAGCCACTGGGTCTGTGACTCGAACCGCAGTTGGATACATGGGAGTTCAGCAACATAGCCATTACGCTAACTGCTGGTTCCATCTTTCTTTTCTTTTTAAAATAAAAGTGTGTTTTAGGTAGATTCATGAACATAAATGACGTACTGGGTTTGGGATTTTTAAAAATTGCTTCAAAAGTTTAAGTTTTCAGAGCCTGGTAAGAATAGGCTTCTTTAAAAAAAAAAAAAAAGAATAGGCGGCTTTTATTTATTTT